CTCTCTCTCTCTCTCTCTCTCTCTCTCTCTCTCTCTCTCTCTCTCTCTCTCTCTCTCCCTATGATTTAGGATTAATTTTAGGATTATGGCTTTGTTTTGAGTTTCTAGTTTAATTTTTATTGGTTTTATTAAATTATTTTTATCCCCTACCCCTCTCTCTTTGTTCTCTAAACAGCATAGAAATTGGGGGGGGGGTCCTCTCTGTCTGCACCATATAGCTTTTTTTATGCAGCAGGCTATTTCTTTTTTAAACATGGGGTTTTTTTTTTAGAAATATAGTTGCATAGCTGCATTGCTTTTTAGTTTATATGATACTATAAACTAAGGGTTTTTTTTCCTTAATAAATGCTAATTGTAATGTTTGCTGAGGTTTAACATATTTTTTAATGTAATCAGTGCACTAATTCTTCCTTGGCACAGGGTAATTCCTGGGTGAACACGGTAGAACAACTGCTGCCTCCTTTGGCGAGAAGCTCCATCCTTCCATCTGCTAGGTAGGAGGAGGAAGTGCTATGGACCAGCTGCTGAATCTCCTCTATCTGAACTTCTCCGAGCATCTGAGTCTGTTGGAAGAGAACGGCATGTCCTGTAGCGAGTCGGTGGGGAACAGCACCTTCCTGATTGTGGCTTACAGCGCCATCATCGCAGTAGGGTTGATGGGCAACCTCTGCCTGGTGTGTGTCATTGTGCAGCAGAAGGAGATGAGGAATGTCACCAACATCTTCATCGCCAACCTCTCCTTCTCTGACATCCTCATGTCCCTTGTTTGCATGCCTGTCACAGTCATTTACACCCTGATGGATCACTGGATCTTGGGAGAAGTAATCTGCAAGGTCAGCCCCTTTGTTCAGTGTGTTTCTGTCACAGTGTCCATCCTGTCCCTGGTCTGGATTGCTCTGGAGAGGCATCAGCTCATCATCAACCCAACTGGATGGAAACCAGCAGCCAACCATGCTTATATGGCTGTAGCTCTCACCTGGGTGGTGGCCTGCTGTATTTCTCTGCCCTTCCTGTCCTTCACCATCTTGACCAATGAGCCTTTTCAAAACTTAAGCCTTCCCTTTGACTCCCTTGCCAATCACCTGGTCTGCATTGAGCACTGGCCCTCTGATCAGCATCGCCTGTCTTACACTACCTTCCTCCTGCTCTTCCAGTATTGCCTACCTTTGCTCCTCATCCTTGCCTGCTACTTCCGCATCTTCCTACGCCTTCAGCGCCGGAAGGACATGGTGGAACGAGCAAAGGATGGTTCCCGGGCCACTAGCCACCGGAAGGTCAATGTCATGTTGGCTTGCATTGTGGTTGCTTTTGCTGCTTGTTGGTTTCCCCTCATGGTTTTCAATGCCCTTTATGACTGGGACCACGAGAAGATCTCAGTGTGTTACTATAACTTAATCTTCTCCCTCTGCCATCTCATGGCCATGGCTTCCACGTGCATCAACCCCATCATCTACGGGTTCCTCAACAGCAATTTTCAGAAGGAGGTCAAGGCCTTGCTGTATCGCTGCAGCTGTAGTCGTGAGAAGGAGAAGTATGAGAATTTCCCTCTTTCCACCATCAGCACAGAGGTTTCCAAGGCCTCGCTCCATAGTGAGGGTGGTACCAGTGCCCCTGCGTGATGGCTGGATCCCATGCAGGACCTCCCGAGAGCAACCACTCCTTTCCTCAACACTGGGCAAAGTGTGGATCAGCTCCACTCTTTGTGTTTGCATCTTTCCAAGTCTTCTGCTTCCCGTCTTATAACCAAACTTATATCAGGGATCCTCTAAAGTTGCTGGGAAGAGAGAGAGAGAAGTGAAATTTGACAGAAATAGAGAATGATTTGGAGGCCCAGAGAACTCAAATTTCTTAGGGACCAATGTATTGGCCACTTGGAGGTCAGGTTTTCTCTTTGTTCCTGAGCCCAAATCTTTAGTCTACCTAAACACTGGGTGATCTGAAAGCTTCTTAGAGAATATAAATACATTGAAATGTATTGAGAGAGATGTTTGAGGAATTGCATAACTTCCTAATATGACCCAAGGGCTCCAAAATTGCTCAGATGCTTTGCAAAGTAACCATCCACCTCATTTTCAAATTCCTGCTGTGGGTGAGTACCTGGTTCGCTGACCCTGACAAATTGTTTCTCAGAAATCAATCAATCAATCAATCATGCTAGATAAAGATTTCCTGGAAGTAAACTTGCACAGCGTGCCCAACCTCTGCAACCACAGAAGAACACTGGGTATGTTCTAGAATCATGTTTTTCAACCTTGGCAACTTTAAGACGTG